TAAAACTGTAACTGTTCAAATGCCCAATTTAATATTGCTGGAAATATCGTTTTATGATATCAGAATAGGGAACGGAATTGAATGCAAATAAATGGGGAAGGATGGAAATGAAACTAGACTTTAAAGGGGCATCCACATTTGATGTATTTAAAAATATAAATGAAATGCATACTCAAAGTTTATATCTTTATACCAATTTTATCATGGAGCACATGTAGCCAGCCTGCATAATTAAAAGTTTACCATTTTTCTCCACCGAACAAATACTAGTATTTATTTTCTCTTCACAGAACTCTGCATAGTAATGTGTGCGTATATACACATCAGCCGCGTGTATTTTTAATTTTTCATTGATAACATATTTTATGTCAAGTATGTGAAAAATATTAGAAAAACAGAGAAGAGGTATATTACTCATAATGTTAAAAAATCTTAAATAGGAAAAATCAAATTAAATTCGGTCGTCGGCCCATGCCTGCGAGGCTGCGACAATAAAGCAGCCTGCATCGGCATTCGCCACCGCAAGGATACTGCATCGCTGGACCCATTTTGCATTCGCCATACGAAAGGACTGAATTGCCCTCCCTTTCAAATCTCGTCTTGCTCGCTCTATTTCTCTGTCCCGGAAAATTAGAAGGCAGGATTTTCCGGTCGTCTCTAGATTTCCTCTCTCTGCACGGCTTTTGCGAGAAGCGGAATATGGCCTTCGCCTCTTTTCTTGGCAGAGTCCTCTTCGCCTCCGTTTTCATACTCGCTGCTTACCAAGAGTTAGTATATATCTTCCGTTGACTCATTTTTCTTCCCTTCTTTTTCTCATTTTTCATGCGATGTTTGTTTATTATTAGCGTATATGCCTGTATTTTTGTTATGTTAGATAACAATTACGATGTTTAAGTAAGTTCTTCAATTGATTCTTTTTAGTAGTTGCTTTGCTCGGATCTGTTGCATTAAAGTTTTGAACTTTACCTGATCTGTTTAGTGTGAGAGGCCTGAATAGATCTATGTTTCTTATTTTGATTTTCCGAGAAACTACCATCTGTGTCGTCCCAAGTTGGTCAATTTCGAAGCTCGATGAATTTTTCATGACTTTTTGACATCGTTGGCAAGGAAGGAGTTAGTCAGTGGCATTCATTAATCATTCATGAAAAGGGCTGCACTTTAAGAAATTTGCTTGAGATTTTCCCCCACCAGTATCGTTGTCTAGAATCGGTCCGTCTAGGATGTCCTTGTCTCGAGGGCGGGGGGTGTTATTCTTGTGGTATGTTTGATGCGCTGGGAAGTGAGAACGAGATATATACAGAGATCTCTTTTTATTTCTTCATAATTAGTACCATATCAAGTAGCCACGGGAATATGCCCACGACATTGTAATGGTACATGATAAGGTTATTTAGGGTTTTCACCTGAACCCGGATTTGTGATTCTTTTTCAAAATGCATTCATTATTGTAGTTTACTAGTGAGATCATGATTCATATAGGGTTTTAACTGGGACACAAGCGTCCAAATAGGATTAGAACTGCTTGCCATGGACTAAAGAACCATTTTTAACATGCTGTTAACTTTTCATAATGGTGGGTACCTTGACTGTATGATGTACTGCTTTGCACTGTTTTTTCAGTTCTATCTTTGATTCCAATTATTCAAAGTCAATCTTAAGAGTCTCAAAGTCCTAGTTATTGCAGACGAATTCTGCAAAACTAAATGAACTTTCTTTCTAAATGTGTCTTCTCTGCTCTGGCCTTGTAGATTCAATGAATATGGGGTAGACGGGGGACCTGCAGCGAAGGCACTCAGACCAAAGTTTGATGCTTTTACACACCGGGTGCATTCTCATGCTGGCTTTCAACTTCCAGAAATTGATGTTAGTCTCTCTCTTTCATTTGCTTACTTTCAATTAGTTCTGGAACATGATTAAAACACTAAAATAGAAAAGTAAATGTGGAAAAACTTACTAGAAGTCATATGCTGGAGAATCTGGATTGAAGTTGGAGATTGCTTGTGATTTCAACAACGTTTTCAGACTTTTCTTCCTTTCTAAAGCATGGCTCAATAGATCAGATGGATGAAGTGTTAACTTATATAAGGCTTTCCATTGGGCTTGACCCAAGGTTCACTGGCACTTTTTAATGCATTTATTTAAAGATTTTGGCTCTCAGGAAGCTAGGTGATTGTGTTTTTTCTGGTCATGAATCTCAAAGGAGAACCAACAGAAAGTAACTACAAAATCTCGTCTCCTTCATCAATATTAATCATATGCATGCTTTCCCTCACAAGTCTGTGACTTTAGAAGAAATACTCTGTTTTTCACGCAGCACATGTATTGCATAGTTCAGGTGTCTTAGTAGACTGTTTTTTTATACAACTGATGTCATGAGCAGATTAAATATTTGGTTGCGGGAGCTATTGCACTCAAGGGAATTGGGGGGCTTCTTTTCATCTTTGGAAGCACTTTTGGAGCTGTCCTCCTGGTTTGTAGTCAGATAATTCATAATGAATTAATTTAAGGGAGAATTACAATGAGGCCCAAGGAAGGAAAATAATTACAAAAAAGTCTCAGATGTTATTTTCTACTTACAGGCTACTTATTTTTCTTTCTTGGGACCTCATTATAATTCTCTCATTAATTTACTCTGAAATTGAATTTCATCTTTTGCCCTGACTAGTTTTACGAACTAAGGTTCTTTTTGGCCCCTGTAGCTTTTGCATCAGATGATTGCGACTCCGATACTGTATGACTTCTACAATTATGATAATGAGGGCAAAGAGTTCAATCAACTTTTCATCAAATTTACACAGGTTAGAGCAGTGTTCTTTTGCCTTTTTTTTTTTTTTTGGGGGGGGGGCCCCTCTTTTGTCTCTGCATGCCAAAATTCAAGCTGTTGCTTGTTTAACGATATTGAAATACATCTTGCAGAATATGGCTCTTTTTGGGGCTCTGTTGTTTTTCATTGGAATGAAAAACTCCATTCCTAAAAGGCAACCCAAGAAGAAGGCTCCCAAAACAAAAACCTATTAGTGGCATCAATCGGGAGGCACCCATATTGCATGGAATTTCTCAGGTTACCTGCTGGTTCTTGCCATTCTTGAATCCGCCACGATATGTCCAGGGTTTGTATCTGGTTCGGAGCCAATTTTCGCTCTCATTTGAGTATTGTAGTTGCCTACAATTTTTTCTTTAATTTATGGTTTCTCTCTTGGGAAGAGGTTAGGAACTATCTTTCGATTGCTAGACTTTGTCTGCCAAGAGGGGAAAAAGAGCAGTTCAAAGCCTGTGCTTTTTCAAACTTCGAGTGTCATTCTTAACTTTTGTTCTGTTTTGGCGATCTTGGTCATAGTTTCCGGCACAAGAACTCTGAAAGCCATCGTTGAACCTAACTGGATTTGTAGGTCGGCTAGTTGGCTTTATTTGCAGTACACGCTCTTGTTAATCTCTCGGTGATTCTTCCACATGACCATAACCAGACGCTATTTTTTTTTGGCCGTTTGATCGGAGTGCATCTGATTCCGCACACTTGCCGGCAAACGCATGTTACGGAGAGGCTCTGTAAAATTACAAGTGAATTAATTAATTAATTAGAAGCCGCTCACTAGAATCATCCGAAAGGCCAGCCTTGATGTAGATGCCCAGCCTTGTTTGGCATGGGTCGTGCTCGTTCCGACCTTCCGTCGTAAAGTATGCATCACCACCAGGCTTGGGCTGCTCATCTGAGGAGCCCAACGATACATGGAGAGATATTATTCTTGATATAAGAGTTAGATATTTAATTTATAAATATTTAAAAAATTAGTTAAGTTAGTTATTAACAAAAAAATTGTCATTTTTAATAATGTGGGTCAAAACTGTTTTGACGGGAGTTTTTTACATTTAATAGTATTTTGAAAAAAAAAACTATAAATATATGATACAAAGTGAATAAAAGGTTTATATGTGTAATCAAATTTAATTCCTAACCATCTAATGCATTCATGTTACACTATCTGCACTACTTTTTTAGTAGTTTTCTTCGTCATGTCTGTCAAGGTAGCGCATACTTGAATCTTTAGGGATAAAAGCAAGATAATACAAATCCAAGTTTCTTTTGAATGGAAAGGGTATGTATTAGTCAATCAAAAACTTTACAAATATTCCTAGTTCTAAGTGTGTGCTTAGTGAGTACATTCAGAGAATGAGCATTACAAATTGAAGTCCCCCAAGAAGAGGAAGGGTCAACTTCTTTATAGAAGAATGTACAAGAAGTTTTGTTTGCCTTGCTTCTAAAAGAGGATGTATAATCCATTCTAATACACCTAAGCTGCACCATTTTATATGATGATTGAATTGGTAAACGCATCACTTCATCAACGTCAAAATATATATGATAGAACTATGAAAGAGAATAATAGATTATGATGCACAAGGAGAACAGATTTGGAAAAAAGAGAAATATATTTCCTAAATTTATTATACTACTTCCGGTCTTTAATATAAAAGTTAGTTAATTTAAATAAATTAAGAAAGTTTGTTGAGTTAGGTGTTATCATTCCTAAAATATCATTACTAATAATGTATTAGTTAAAACTATCATTTAATTAAACATTTAACATGTGCATCCACTACAAAATTACTTTAAAAAATTGTTAAATATAAGAAAAGTGAATTCAGGTTTTATATTTAAAACAAAATTGAAAGTTAAATTAACTCTTATATTAAAGAGCGAAGGTAGTATTTGAAATCTGTTTTCCTTTTCTCTTCCTATTCTTGATTTTTCAATGATAAGTACGGAGGTAGCAAAGCCAATTATTGACACGACTCGATAGACTAGAAACTATGAGCAAAGATGGAGAGAGAACATCATTTAGTTCCCAAACTCTAGTAAAACCAAAATATTCATCACACCAAAGTTTCAGAATACTTTTGTGCGAAATCTAGCAAATCCGAAATCCCCACTGACCATACTCTTATCTTATGCAGCGCCAGCACAAAATCAAAATTTTCGAAACCCAGAAGAAAGAACAAAGTTGAGTCTGATACCAAACTTTGAATTTAAGCACGCAATCAATTGAACTAGCACAGTAGTTTTGTTTAGTAACGAGTCGCATTCTGAACAGATCCGGCTATTACAGAAGTTCTGAACCAGCACAGGAGAAACCTACCAAAGGAATTTCCAGACACAGTTCCAAGCATAAGACACAGGCTGGTGCAACTCATAATCTTATTTTTAATATCAAACCTTATAAACAAGTTGTAAAAACATTCCAATCATACATCAAAACAAACACCATTTAGCATCTCGACACACTTTCAATCCTCTACCAATTATAGCAACCCATCAAATGTAAGGTAATTTTCCCCTTCCTTGACCTCCCTTGCTGGAGCAACTGGGGTTGATGAACACAACGAGATGTCAAGCATCATTTCACAGATCAAGACAGTACAGGAGTCGGTGAAGGAGTAAAGATGCCTCCCGAGAATTGACCGATCATTGTGAATACATAGTACTCTGGGATTGCAGCATTTGCACGAGTGGCCACAATATATCCAATCTGTGCACATTTCTGTTGTTTTGGCCCTGTGACAGGTTAACTGTTATGAATATTTGCAAGTGCACAGTTCAACCCAGGTTGCGACAGATAATTAAAATAATAAGGTATTATCCATTCAAATTATGATAACTCCAATCAGAACAGTTGACAACTCGGTCTCTAATCGGAACAGTGTTGGCTTCAGACCTTTTAAGGCATAAAGTAAAGTATGCAACACCATGAGACAGATTCACATGCGATGCTGTTAGCTCAAAATAGTACGCATACTGGAGCAACTCAAGTAAATGATCGCAACAAGATTTGGACTCGAATTACATGTAAAAAGGTGGATTACAATTGAATCGAGTTGGGAAATAGGATAGGCTTCAGGCAAACAGATGGCCCAAAAAAGAAGGAATAGAAATGAGAAGGACGCATTAGATGCATTGAACAGTAGAATAAGATGTAAATACGGGTTGCCAAACTTCTAGTCTAAATAGATTTAACTTTTGATAATTATTAAAACTTGTAGACTATCAGTCACCATAACACCAAAACATGTAGATAAAATTTTCATTAGAACTACAGGAACACATTGCCTGCAATGCTGTGTTATTTTTTTCAACCCTCTGAAAAAGAAAACGGAGCAGCAAGTTTGCATTTACTAACGAGAGAAAAAATCTTGCTAATTATTTTATTCCTACCTCAACCACAAAGCATATCCATGTCTTCTCACCATGAGCTTCTGTTGCACCCGTCAAAATTGTCAGACCCAAGCTTCTTATGGCTTCTGCTATCTCAAGAAAATGTGTGCACTCCTCACACAGCATCTGCAGCATGGAACACAATAAGAATGAAAGAAATAAATAGATAAAAGATTCAGCAGAGGCCCAAGAAAATATCTTCAAATTCAAAGAACCTCCCCCAAAATCAATCAAAACTGTAATCCTCAACTTTCACACACCTCAATGAGCATCTGCCCATTCTTGTTAAGATTCTCCACTAATATTGAATGAACTTTCAGATGGCCCCCTACTTCCATTGCCCAACTTGAACCCTGTTCATAGCCAGACGAGCCAAGAACATCTGCTTCCATGTGATGCACCTGCAAAACCACAGTACAATATTATAATTGCGAACATTTTCCTAGTGCATATAACAGCCGGTAAACCTGTTAGTTCATCAGGTTAATTACAATAAAGGCCTTAATGCTCAGACATGACTTATCTTGCTCAGAGATTAGTTAACACAAGAGAGAAAGGTAGACCATTGAAATCCCATTAAACCTTACCTTTGTCTTGGAGTCTGTAAATTTGTTTAACTTATCAGCATGCTTGGTTATGCTCTGCAAAAAGAGCATGTGCTTTATTGTGCGCTCCAGCAGCGAATCAATACTGCACTGTTGTGAGTTATCACAAAATTGTTAGCCAAATGAAATCAGAAAATCAGATGTGATTAGTAGAGGCAGAACTAATAAGCATGGATTACTGGGACATACCTTTGCTCCACTTGGCACTAGATCTCTCAATTCCTTAATACGATCTTGAATCAGTTGTCTATCCCTTGGCCTTGGCCTACAAGACTCCCCTGGCCTAGCCCTCTTCTTGTTCTTGGCAGGTTCAGAAGACCTTTCAAACCGTTCACTACATGAACTAGGACATGCAGAAGAAAAACCTTTGGGCGAAACTACACCACAGATTCCAGATGAACTCAAACAGGGCTGTTTCTCCTCCCTGATAAGAGAGGATTGATCTATAGAATAACATTCTGAATTAATTGTGCGGGTGGTTTGAATAGAAGCTTCAGGATTTCTTCCAGACGCTACGCCAGACTGCACTGATGTGCAAAATGACAAGTCACTATTTGCATCATTATTACTGTGGTGAACATTGGCCACTACTGCCTCCAAAAGATGTCCTTGACGAGATTCAGAAGTCAACTGGCTACAGCTAATCTCATCTGGCATCTTTGCAGTTTTAACATCTTGATTCACCCATGCGCCCAAATCACAATATTTACTCCGTTTCAGAAAAGCTGGTCCAAGTGCTTCATGCAGCTCACAGCCAGCAGGGAACTTTAACATTGTGAATGGGACATCCTTGTAAGAAGGATCAGTCTCCAACTCTGACTTTAATGTGCCCTTTTGGAAATTTGCATCAGAAGGTCTAACAACACTGAAAACGCCTTGTGGGTTAGGCTCCATGTAAGGTACCTTGTCACTTCCATAAACAACAGCATCAACAAAATCTGCAGGGATGCCGGCAGAATGAGCTCCAATCTTTCCTGATGGACATATTAAATCTTGGAACCTGTTATCATTTGAAACAGAATTGAGGGCCAAGGATGACATATCTTTTTCTGATTCCACCCTCATGTCTTTGCAGCCACTACTGCCCACTTCACACTCTCTCTTGTTTAGAGATCTCATCTCCAAGGACTTCTGATCCTCCAGATCCACCAAATTTGACACTGGATGATTCAAGAGGTAACTTTCGTCGAGGTTAAACTCAGACCCTCCATGCTCGGCCATATCAACAGCAATTTCCTGAGTAACACAGGAAGGTGAAAAGTTCTTTTCAGAACATGGGAAGGACATCAAATTATTCGGCGTCTCACTCCTGATTTTCTCCACAGCCTGCAAGCAAGCAGGTAAAATTATCAAGAGAAAACTATTTCATCATTACATGTGGCTGAAAGGAAGATATTTAAACACTCTGATAATTCTCAATGTATTTGAATTTGAATTAATAATGGCATTAACCAATTGCTACATCAGTCTTGGCACATGCCTGTGACCACAAGCCCATCCCCACTGACATTAGCACATTGATGTAGTACAAATACACACAGAATTGGAGATAGAAAGTTACCAGAGGCGAGACATTCTTCGTACTACTTTGTATTTGATCTAGAGAATGACCAATTGTATAATGCTGAGCAGCCAGAAAAAGATTTCTGATATGAGTTACAAACTCTGTATCTTCTATCACCTGCTATCAGGGATGGCAGAAGCAGAGCATACTATTAAAATTTTCAATTAAAATGAACCTCCAGATAAAACATTCAATGTATATATAAAACTACAAAAGAAACTTTACATCCAACAAAATCAAAGACCAGTGCATGAGAAGAGAGAAATATGTAATTGTAAAATAAGAAAGCTAAAGATCCAATAGAATTTCTAACAAAAATCATCAACATAAAAATATTTGAGATAGTTATCATCTTGAACCTCATCAGCAGGGATAAAGAGTTTAAGCAAAGCAAATAATAAAAGAACTTTGCCTTACATTATTTAATGAGCCAAGTTGAACAACTCCAAGTGGAACTACAGCTACAACAACAATGGTCTACAAGGAAAGAAAAGAAATTTGATGATAAAAAAATCTTTATACACAACCAAGTTAGTCAAGCAATTCAGCCCAGAAAACCATTTTTGAAACATGATCAGTAATTTTCAAACACATCGTACAACAAAAGTCTAGATACTAACTCGTATCATCCTTCTTTTTTTAATCATGTGACGACTGTTTGATTATATGTGACATAGAAAAGTTCAACTCTATTTCCTTTTAATTTTACGAAAATAAATCTGACCAAACAAAAGTCTCATTCAGCATCTATTCAACAGCTAAAATTCAATTAAAAAATATATATACAGAGAAAAATATTGGTAACATGCATCATACTTGGCAAATCAAAATATTTGAAATGTCAACAACACAAGTCTGGATCAATAAAGAAGACCTCTATGCTGAACAATGAAACAAGAGACCATAGCTGAAAGTACATAACTTTGCAAATACTATACGCCAAATAGAACCTAAGGATTCAAAAAAATTTTGGTTGAATCCAGTGAAATAGTAACAACAAGCCAGCGTCCTGCTATTGCTTGCATGACCATTTATGGTTTTGAGTCAACAAACATATCAATAACAATTTTCTGATCTCTTGTTGAAAATTAAAAGTTCATCATTCTTATCATGTAAATCTTCTCTACAAAAATCCCTAACAAGTCAGTGTTAACAGGCCATGAACATCGCAGCTTGCTCCGTCGAGTTCCATGCAATGCATGGGGCTAAGATCTAGTTATTTCTATTTCTTGGTAAATATGGAGTGTTCTCTCTTGCAGCAGACATGGCTTCTAGTTAATTGATGATATGTTGACTTACCTTGATTCCGATAGAAAACTGGGATTGCCAGTCCTCAACAAACTGAAAATAAACCAGGGAGAGGGAGGATAATAAATCAGTTTAATAATGATAAAAATATTAATGTGGGGCCTTCAAATCTTACTAGGTGGGGTGAATATAATAGCAAAACTTTAAAAAAGAACCCTCACCTCATATAATGAGCCAGGACCTGCAACTTGATTACCTGCACAGATCCACCGATGCTTTCCAGTAACAGCTACCTGTCCAACAATACTGTAAAACAAAGGATAAATACAGTATGAGATGTATAATTATTTAGTAAAATAATCTTAGTTCATCTGCTGTCATAAATTTGAATTGTAGGCATTTCCCATTATGACCAGCAAAAGTTTCAACGTTCACAGAGACTGAATCAGAGGTTACAAACGAGTAACAGTAAACAGTTTAAAGAAAATTTTTATGGGATAATCAAAGATTTACAGCTTCAGGTAAGACCTTCATAAAGGCTAAAATTAAATTTAAATAGCATCATACATGTTGGGTTAGTCATACCCTTCCCCTAAAGTATATACACGATATGACATCTTCACCACAGCTAACCCTAGAGGGTCGTGTGAGAATTGACCACCATCAACCTGTTCCAAGGCCTTCTGGCTGGGCTTATTCTCTGAAGAGTCATGTTCATCAGGACTGTCATAGTAACCATCCTCCCACGTTAAGATCCTGCAAGCAAGTACCACGCTCAACAAGTGATTCAAGGGAATGCATCATAAACTATTTCCTTAGACAATAAATCAGTTGCCAATTGTTACGAGAAAAAATTATATTGCCATCTGAGTTAAAAGTAAACAACAAATACCAATAACAAATATAAACCTTACACCATTGCATGCGCTATAATAAAAGTAACATAGAGCCCCCGTACTAGACAGAGGATCGCAATTCATCAAACATGTTATTGCCACAAGGATTTTAGATAATCAAGATCTTTAAAGTTAAAAACCAAGATAAGCATTATATGCTTGAATTGCCTAAATAATTATACACATCAAGCATGATAAATAGATTTCAATACTTCGAAGTCAAATTTCCTAGCAGATATGCAAAAACTACGAAAGTACTCTAAGTAATTCACATTCAAAAAGAGGGTAAACTTGTATAGTCACCAAGAAATAGATGCAATATATAAGCTGTAGAACAAGGAAATGTAAAATTAGACATACATGCGAGCATGATGTTTGAGTTTCCAAAAGATGGCGTACTTCCAATCAGAGTTGAAACAGAGGCTTCTGAGTACTTGCTGCAAGTTGGTACCCATCTTACTAAAATTTCACCACCCAGACACTAGAAATTGGCCGTTCAGTAACACCCCAGAAAAAAACACCAAAACACTAATTACCCACAATCACCGTGACCTAGCTTCCCCTGTAGGATCCTCTTCCAGCTTGTTTTCTTCTTAACCCTGCTCGCCGTTTTAATGGCGGTCCAACTGTTGGCAATAGCAAAAGATCCGTACCCATCACTCGCACACCACGTGCGAATTCCAGTACAAGTCCCACTACCCAAAGCTTCGAACTCTGTATCAGGAGCTTCGAAGAATTCACAGACGCGGAAAGAGAAGTAAACCCGCTATACTAAGAAACACAGCAACAGTATCCTTAAGCACACAAAAAATGCAATTATCCATTGGATGCGTACGGACGCTCCTTAATTCTTCAAGTAACAAGAGCAGAAAGTTAAGGTTGTCGAAACAGATTCTAGCTTATATCCGAAGACATGGGTTGACCGCAGAGTTGGAGAGCTGCCAGTGCCGAATGAACCTCTCAAGGAAGTTGATAATGAAAGAAGCTTAACTCAAGGCAATGAAAATTGAACGAATAAAATTGAGCTACATTTGTCGAAAAAGAAAAGCTCAGCTTTTTCCCAGTTGGCTTTATCAGAGAGGGAAGCCGTTGCTAAACTTCCAGACCCTCCTCTTTCTCACTTTGCTGCGTAGAGGAAGAGAATGTCAATGGTGGAAAATAGTACTGCAGGGAATATGGTTACAATAGAATAGAAGGATGATGTAATATAGGAGCGCACTCTGTTTCCTTCTAGCTTTTGGTAGGGAAGTGGACAGCGTTGATCCTTGCAATGATGAGCAAAATAGCGTAGCCGACCTTGATAAAGCTTCTTCCTTTCCCAATTACCCCCTATTATCATATCCTACGCATTGTGCGCACTCTAGCTCCAAGGGCAGATGTTGGGCATGAGCCCGAGGACTAATGAGGGATTAGTGACTAATTTGAGCTTATATTTAACATCAACAAGCCCATGGAGCTAAAATCAAGGGGAAAAGAAATGAAATTATCCAATCAGGGTCCGAGGAGATCTAATCATGAATTGTAATTCTAAGTTTACTTTAAATATATATACCTCTCGTCTTTAATATAAGAACTAGTTTGATATTCAGTTTAATCCTAAATATAAAATCTCAATTCATTTTGTTTTTATATTTATCTATTTTTTTTAAATAATTTTTGTAGTAATTGCACATGTTAAAAGTTCCATCAAATAATAATTATAGCTAATACACATATTATTAGTAATGGTATTTTAAGAAAAATAACACATATTTACTATAAATAACTAACTTAACAAAAATTTTTAATCTACTTAAATTAGTTAACTAACTCTTATATTAAAGGTCAGAATTGGTATCACTTACCATTATTAAAAAAAATTATAGTAATTGTGTTTAGACTTAAGTTTTGGTTTTAGGCCCGTCAATTTGATACACTCAACCTTGTAAAAAGTAGCTACACGAGGGACATACTCATAAGCTTTAACTTTAAATGTTTTTATAAGAGTTTTTCTTTTAAAAAATAACTTGGATATTTCGTAGGCTCTAAATGAGTTTTATTGAGCTAAGAGGCTAAGACACAGCTCATGAAGACCATTTGAAATAAAACTTCAATTTGTTTTTTACGTTTGAGTTTGAACAAAAAAAAGTCAAACACGGTTGACTTTATGCTCATTTTTACTGATATTTTTTAAAACGTTCAACATTATTTAAACAATAATTTTAAAAATTTACCGGCGTTAAAAATAATTTTACACATATTAATATAAAATATGAATTAGCTATATTATTTATAGCTAATAGGAAGCTACTTCCACTAATAAATTAAATGTTGGTTGAGGTGACTAATGGTCATAGTTTCATATGTACGGTTTAGAAAAAGTGTCAGATACGGGGTGAAGGGGTTTTGTCGCACATGTAATAAAAAAAATACATTTAACTTTAATTAAAACTAAAATAGGTCTTATATATTTATATAAAATCCTGAATTATCTTCCCCTACCTCACAGTTTAAACTAACCTTTTCTTTTAACTTAAGGTAAAATATAATTATTATAAATACACACTTTATGGGTGGTATCATTTGATGGCCAACAGCATGATTCCCTGACTGAGGAAACGATCCTTATCTCCTCAATTTTCAATCTTCCTTTTGAAACCCTGCCGAGCTACCCAACTTCTTCCTCTCTTAACCTCCTTTTCTCAGCCATCATCTTATTTCCCTAAAGTTGTGACAAACTCCACCCTCTCATTGCATTATATCTTCTTCCTAAATTCACCTTCCTGATCTCTCTCTTTCTTGTTGAGCGGCGGCCATGCCGTATGATCATGCACCGATTTCTTTGGGCCACCTTTCATTCACTCACTCATTCATTCATTCATTCATTCATTCTTGCTTCATTTGGAACAAATCAAGCATGTTTGCTTCCCCACTATCACTATGTTTGTGTCATATTTAGCTATTTCATGTAGGCCACCTTCACATTCTGTAAATTCCCTTGCCCCACAGGCCCACACTAACTCAGCATCATTCCAGGAATCCCCATTATTTGTTTCTAACACTATGAGCTTGTCATTGATTTCGAATCATTTTATCTCCTTTTTCTATTGCCATCCTTGTTTGATCCGTCTGTGAGAGTAATTATATAGGGGTCTATATAGGTTGGATTTAGTCATTTATTACCCCATAAGGGACAAGAATACAAACTATGGTTAAAAAGTGACATGATCGCTTTGTTCTATTACACCAACTGTGCCTACTTTGATCGTTAAAAGACCCATTTTGTCGGAAGTGGTTAAATACAGTGCCTTTAACTTGTTCCTTAGCAGTATTATTAAGAGGCACAATCTTGCGTCTTTGTTTTCCTGCTTTGCATCGATAGGATCACATATCTCTCCAGCTTTCCTCAATTATCGATCATATATAGTGATGACCCATCATGTGTGTGTGTGTGTGTATGAACAGCTTCATTCGAAACTTGACTGCCAGAAGTCAAGTGGGTCTCTAGTTTTATTGCCTGAAATGTGTTACTTAGCTTGGTCAAAACCCACAAACAGAATAATTGTACAGGCCAATAAAATATGGGGTGGAAATGCAGAAATTTGATGATTACTATTATTCTTTCATGTTGGAAAAGGTAAAAAGGAAGAAAAACTTTGGACGGTTCGCATGTTTTTGCAATTAATTTAAGTCTAGGGTTATCAAAGCTTACGAGAATGATATAGCCATTGGACAAAGTCAACTAGGCTATGCATGAAGGTGCCGCGCTGCGAGTTAGTGATTCTAATGATAGGCTTTCTGGATAAAGACCAGTGAAAAGGACCATGAGTATCATAAATCATAAATGCAAAGTGACGAAGAACAATCATTTCTCTCTCCTTTTTCTGTCAAGTTTTAATTTTTCACCCACAAAATTCTGCTAACTTTCTTATTCCGTGAATAACGTCTTATATTCCTACGAGGGGTGAGTTTGTTCCGTATGAAATGACAATGTAAACAGGAAGAAAAATGCTGTTTCTTTAAGGATTTGATTTTGCATTTAGATCCCAAATGGAAACTTTAATTTTTATCATGTCCATGGTCTTTTCGTTTTCTCGCGCTGCTTTTCCTTTTTCTCATAGTATGATCAGATTAGGGGCCAAAATCAGATCTTACTAGAAATCTTTTCGCAACACTTCATCCCAAAAAGGTTACAGACCAAAAAAAAAAAATCTAGAAAAGGATGACTCAGTCTCCAAAGCTATGAGTACAAGTGTCTTCTCACAGCTTGCCTCCTTTCCCTTAGTCAAAATCGATGGGCGTGAAAATGGAACACTACCCACATAAAAATCCAATATATTTATAAACACATGAAGAATAATATATAAGTGAAATAAACTAGTGGCCACTAACTAGATAAACTATATCTTTTAGCTTTTAGCCATACGAGTTAAGAAAGTAGGGTTAACACACTTTACGAAAGATTTCCCTCTGATTAAACTTGCCCAGGAAATCCATCAGTTATCGTATTTGGTTTTGTTTCTTTCCCTGGACGCTCTTATCTCTAATCAAAACTGTGATAGCTTGATCAATGCAAGCACGAGGAATCCAATGATAAAATGCTTTAGGGCCAAAATCCTTTTGGTTGAAGTAATAATGTTTCCGTTCTTGAGCGTTAAAAGGGAAAGGAAAAGGAAAAGTCTTGTCCTCTTGCGGTTAGTAGAGTGTGGAGTTATAAACAATGTAAGGAATATCATAATTGGATTTGTAAAACGTTGTATTCTATTATTCAGCAACACTAATCATATTGTTTTAAGCTGTCACTTTCAGCAAAGGTACATTCGGGTAGAATAATGAAATTCCATATCCAACAGCATGAAATCTGAAATGATACTGTTCCAGGGAAAGTCAAGCATTATGGGTTTTAAAATCGATGAAACACTGTTCTAGAAAAGATATTCCTACCACCATGAAAGGTACAAGTCCTTTTTTTTAACCACAAGTAAGTTTTGCGAGATTAAGTGCTTAATCCAATAAGTAGCTCCAAAAGATAAGGTTGGTTTAGTGGATGTTGTCGTTTAGCCAGTATGGCTTCACCAGTTCAGTGTATAGTGAGACAGATGCTTTCTTCTTATCCTCTCACTTTCAAATTCTTGTAATTAAACCCATCTCCTTCCTCTATTTCCTCCACTGAAAATCTCACACCAATGATTATGAAAAGGGAATATCTTCCAAAATAAGATGGAAATCTGACCATATGGCAACAATTTTGATTGAAGGTAATTAATTCTGTCATCCCAAGCACTCGGTATAAAGTATAAATTAACGGTTGTTGAAGATTTGCAGTCAGCCACTAATCATATACGAGTATTCTAAAAGCAAGAAAGAAGCAAATCTATTGGATTACAAGTCATAAAATTACAAATAATTGTTCAAAGCATAAATAAGAGAGGACGATGGACACTGGTATATTATACACACACACACTTTGCATTAGCCTTTTTCTTGGGTGCTGGGATTCTTTAATTATACATATCCTTAAGCTGTAGCAAATTGACAAGGATATATCATCACCTTAAATTTGAATCTCACAATTAATGGTTGTCACTTTGTTGGTTGAGTGGGCCTGAACTGTAGTTAGTGACGAGGATATTCACCTGTTGTTTTGTCGTCAGACTAATCAACAATCTTTAGCTGTATGCAATCATGTGAATGAGAAATTGCTCGCCACTGCTCAGCAATCTTTGGCAAGCACTAGCCGCAAAGCCAGGATATGGAGCTTCTCACCAGTCATAATTTTAATTTATACCAGTTTTAAGAGTTGGGTCTCCGTATTTAAACATATAGAGAGATGATCTTAAAAATGAAAATTCCATGTGCAGTACTAGTAGCTGCCCAGAAACTCAGATATGTATGAAAGAGCTGTTGAGAATGCATATATGCCATCTGAACCTAGCATCTCTGATGAATGCTTCGAGCACACAGGTTCAATGCTATAGTGAAGTTTCCTGCAGATTTTTCTTTTTTCTTCTTTCTCATAAGAGTAATCATTGTGAGGGCTGAACCGTGGACATATTTTAAAGTAAGTTATAGTTGATGAATATAGATATATAGGACAATTGCTCATAGAACCCAAGTAAAAATATTAAGTGTAAATAGGTCTCTTAAATTTCCGTTATCACTTCGAAGTTCTAGAAGATAACCTAGGAATCACCTGAAAAAAAGTGTGAAATTACCTCCATAGGTTGACTAATCATTGACCATACCAGTGTTGGACTGTGGTAGTAGTCGTTAACCAACAAAAGTTGAAACAAATATATTTTATTGTGATAATAATTGAAATTTGGGACCTATTTATATTTAGTAGTTTTAGTTGGCGCCTATAAATAATT